ACCTAACGGTCACAGGAGCTTCCTCGCTAAAAGTTGCTGTGATTATGCAGTTACCTAGGGCTGAAACAAATTCCCCTAGGCCAGTGGTCTCAAACTCATTTGAGTGTAAGGGCCAGGATATCACACACGTGAAAGGTCGAGGGCCAACGGAAGACGCGCGGGGAGGGGGGGGGGGGGGGGTAGAGATTTTGTGCTTTATGCTTTTTGTAAACGTTAAGTCTTGCCAGTGACATCTTTAGATGTGATTTGGTTATAAGACTACTTTGGGCCTTGACCTGATGTGATAAGAATTAAAATGACACCGCACCGCCAACGTGCTGGCATTTTTAGTAAAATTACACGGTCGTTCCCGTTGCTTAATTCACCCAGGAATTGACCAAGCTCAACATGTCTCTAAAAACAATCAGTAATATGACAGTTGCTGTTTTCCTGACGATTTTTGCTACAGCACTCGAACAAATACTTGTCTTTTAAGGGTTATATATTTTTGAAGGCGAGAATCCCGAGCTCGTAGCTTTATCTTTGCCAGTTGCTCCTGCTGATCGAGAGTTCGCGCAGCCGAAATGCATCCTTTAACGAATAGCTTGCGCTTGCAGTATAGTAGCGGAATCGTTATACATTACAGAAAGCTGGGAAGCAAAACATTATGTGAAACAAATGGCAAATGAACACTGATAAGTATCAACTACGTGAATATATGTTAAAAGAGCAGGGCTACTTTTCGAGCGAAAATGAATCGGCGAGATGAGATCACAATGGCGCATGCTATTTCTAGCGCTCGAGACATTGAGACCAAGACTCGTAACTGGTTGCCTTTGCGCCGCGTCCCAGCGAGTCGCGGGCCGCATGCGGCCCGCGGGCCGCGTGTTTGAGACCCCTGCCCTAGGCCCTACATCCGACGCATACATTTCGCGTCGATTTTCAGACATTCCAACATTCAAACAAAGCTAAGAGAATGCGAGAAGTTTATGCTAATTAAGCACTCAAAGTTCTATCGATCCTCGAACAGATCCCGAATCCGAGCACCGGTACGGCGATACGGCTGATGCTGTCTCAAGGTGTTAATACCCAGATGATCCAGAGCGATCTTGCGCAAAAAGGGTATAAAGTCTCATTCCTTCATATTTTCACATTATACCTGCGTCAGCGAGCACGAAAAAGACCGAAGTCGTCGGAAAGCCGCTGCACATCACGGCTACCGCGCACCAAAGAAACTCGCATCCGCCAGCTCTGGGCGCTGCGACGTCACGGCTCTTGGGAGGTCACATGACGAGTAGTCCCTTTTGCGTAAAACATGGCGGCAACCGGGGGGGGGTGCCACTTCCGAACTTCCGGTTTATCACTCTAAGCCCAACGTTATTAGATTAGCTCAGTTACGGAACTGCTCATAGGCGCCGCATGCAGGAACGGTACCCCCCCTCACTCACCACGACTCGCCAAGCGTCGCTCGACGCGCCGCCAGACGGCTGCTTTGGTAACTGAATCAGGATACGTACGTTTCAACGTTACTAGAAACGTAAAATCCAACGGAAAAAAACTCTTTTTGTAGTAACTTTTATTGGAGCTTAGTACAAAATGGTGGGCGCGTGATGTTTTCCAAAAATTTTAGATTGCAATGTTTTGCAGTACAATTAATATTGTTTTCAATAATAATAATTGGGTTGTGTGTATGTTTATACAGCCTAGAACTTGGTCTGCCTCACAGGGGCGACGAGTCTCCCAGCTGTAGATGAGCAATTTAGCCAGTGCAGTACAACCGCTAGCCTGGGATCTTTAACGTGCACCACGCAGTAGTGATACACGACCGCACGCCGGTACGATGCTCATCCAGATCGAAACGGGCAGGGGTGGGGTTTGAACCCAGGATCCCTGAGCTCTGCGGCGCGAGCTTTCGCTCCACGTGCTCCGAGCTGGTGTGCGCTAACCCACTCGGCCACCGATCCCCCCAATATTGTTTTCATACAACCAGGACTCAGCGGCCATTTCAGGTAGCACGTCCCGACCTAGGCGCATCTTAACTTCGGGGAAATTTCGCGGCGCACCCGCTGGGGACACGGGGGTTGCATCCCTGTGACCTCTTTCCATTGTATCTGTTTCGGCTCCGAAATGGCCGATTGAAACCAAAATAGGTGTTACGTGCAGTTCCTTGAGTGACCGCTGCGGGATAAATGGCGGCGTTGTGATCGCCATTTGGCGCTTCAGCTGGGCTCTTGGAAACGAATAGTTATGAAACGAAAATGTAAATGGCACTTCGATCGACGCTTGGCGGATTGGGGTAAGTGAGGGGGGTACCCTCTCCGCGGGAGTTCCACAACTGAGGTAATCTAATAACGTTGTCTAAGCCCCTCTACCTCGTTGGTTTGTTTCGACCTCGAGGATAACCGGAAGTGACGTCAGGTGCAAGTCCTCGTCCCCAGCCACCTAAAAGGCGTATCCAGTATGGACGACGAAAAAATAATAAAATGTTTCAACGTGTAAATAATAATAATAAAAAAAAAACACAACAACAACAGTGGAGGCAAAACGAGAATGTCTGACGGATACGCTAGCCTAAATGTCTTTTATTGGCGTGGCGACGGCAAGACAATGTTTTCGCTCATGACGATTCAAGATAGCAGCGCCCTCGTGTAAAATCGTTTATGAGACCTATACAAACCTTGACATGGCTTTACAACACACAGAATAAGAGAAATCGGGTATCGGTAAGCAAATTACACTTTCTGGTAAGTAGGTATTTACGAAAGGTTGCTCGTGAGCAACACTGAGCATTTGCGGCACCACTTCACGTCGAGCGAATCAAAGCAAATGGGACGAGGCACAGGCAGTTTCTAATTTCGCACAGTACATAAAGGTAAAATCGAATTTATATTATTTCTCTTCTCACAGTTTTGGGGCCAGTTGTTCGCGCCACCAGACGTCACATCCACTGTCGGCTTTGGTTTCTAAGGACGAGTGATCTGTTCCGAAGACGCATTTCGATCCTCCACTGCTAGCGCAAGTATCCTCGCCCATGCGACAGAGGGCGCTAAATTTATTGGGGCGCACGCGGAACGGGAGAAAATAAATCATTATTACGTTCAATGAAAAAACTGTTAAAGTGCAGGCGAGCTGGTGTAAGTTATACATGATCATTGAAACCTGATCTGTGGATTTGAAAAATGGAACACTCGTGAAGGAGGAAGAAAAAGGGGCAGACAGCGTCCCTTTTGCTGGGTATCCGAGAGCTGCCCGGTCTAAGCGCCAAGAAAGTGAGAAGGAGAGAGGGGGCGTCAGAACGCCGAGCTCCGATCCGAATGATTAGGGGGTAGACCGAAAGCTAGCCGCCCTGATCTCCACTGCACTCGTCGCACGCGTTCGAATGGAAGAGCCAGACACCGGCGTTCCGGATTCTAGCGCGTTCAACGTGTTCAGTGGAGGCAAAGGCTGCTAGCGTGAGGCCTACCCACTAATCGTTCTAACCAGAGCTCAGCGTACTGTCGTCCCCCCCCCCCCCCCCGGCCCATTCCTCTTCTCCTCTCCCTCACTTTCTCGTCGCATACAGTTCGACGGAGTCAATCAGGCATCGGCGAAAGTGAACCGGCCCTCGCAGTCTTTGCCACCATCCAAATCAGTCGGGCACAAAAGAGAGCGCAGTATTGGTTTATCCGGTCACAGCAAACGCAGACAAGACGACAGGTGCGCTTTCCACGCTGCTTGATTGACCGTGACGGATCCTGTCGTCTGCGGTCGACTTGAGCGCACTGAACGGTCGACCTGAGCGCACTGAACGTAGTAACTTAAAGAAACTTTTCTTTCCTCAAATTTCGTTTTATTTTAAAAAGTTATAGGCAAATTAGAATTACAAAAACAAGCAAAAAATTACCTCCTCCTTCATGACGTCGTAGGGCCTGGCTTGAGAGGCCGTGAACTAGAGGAGAAGTTGTGAGCTCATCGAGCGCTCACGGCTGCCGCACTCCGTGTCGACGGCTCGAGAGGGCGCCACTAAAGCACGTGTTGGATAGGCTGTATGAAGCGGGCGGCCAGGCTGGCCGCCCGCTTCATACAGCCTATCGCGTAGCAAATGCAGTGCGAGCCGCCCTGGCCCGGCTCGCATTGCATTTGCTGCGCGATTAAAGACTAAATCGGCATAACACTTCATTGGCCACAAACGACAGCAAACACGGGGTAAATATCAGTTCAGAACGAGAGCCATGCACTTCGCGCTGCCATACCGCCAAATGGCTAAACAGCAAGCCATACCTGCTCGCCGAAGGCCTTCGGAACGCTCGGAACCGGTCGGATCCTCGAGCCAGTATACGACCGCAGCGCCGCCGCATACATCCGGGACCTTTCTACGCTCGCCGTTCGTCAGAGCCTAATCCGACTAACCCTTTCCAGTATGCGCCGTTTTTTCCGCCGCCTGGTGGCGGGTTTGTCGACGGGTCTTTTCTTGTTCCGTACTTTATAAACTGCATTTGTTTTTGTTTTTTCTGATCTAAAATACTGAACAAAAACTACTTTCATACATAATAGAAACGGTTCGCAACACTTGTATTTTGTATCTCGACTAAAAAAAAAAAAAAAAAAAAAAGCTTTTAGCGGCTTTGATTAGTAGTATGTGCAGGACCAAAGATGTCACATATTGCGCGCTTTCGGCAACGCGGGTCGCCCTCGTAGGTGGAGGAGGTTTTCGCGTCGTCCGGTTAAAGTACGACTCACTGATATTTAGTTACTGTCTCCGTGCCCTCTGGCTTTCCCGAACCCCAAGAGACGTGGAAACCGCAAAAAAGGTAGACGCTTAAATATGATTGCAAGACCCCTTTAACGTTCCTATGAGCAGCCGGAGCCAATCCGAAGCTCGGAACGTGTCACGTAAAGGCTCGTTCACAGACGTGCAACCGAGTACGACCGAGAGAGACCAGACCGGTTTTTAGGCCTCTTGCGACGTCTTAGGACCGGGCGCGCTGCTGCGGAGCTGGACCTAAGACGTCGTAAGAGGCTTAAAAACCGGTCTGGTCCCTCTCGGTCGTACTCGGTGGCAAGAGCGTGAACAGGCCTTAATTCTCCGGTTGGGCCGAAGACCTCCCTTTCCTGCACGGCGTATATGGCTCGTAGCGTCTGTGGCCGTACATCAGAAGACGCCCGCCACACTCTGAGGCTTTGGGAAGATTCCTTTGCGAGCTCGCGATCTTATCTGGCCAGCCAATCTCGAGAGAGAGAGTGCGTGCTCGGCGAGTATCAATACAGTCTGCAGTACCGCATCCGCGGTTGGGGGTGCAACCGTCGAGCTAACTCGTGAGTTTATTCCGGTCTCGTGGAGAGACCCATTTGGACCGAAATACTTCGGCACTTACTTGAGTGTATATCTCTTTCGATATTTTGCCTTATTAGGGCTATATTTTCTTGCCCAACAACAAGTTCTTTTATATTTTGTTGCGAGATCGATAGAGGAGAAACGTCAGCTCAGAATAGGCACGTTCTCCAATCGCGGTCGGCGCGACGATGCGTACAAACAAGAGGCACAGACGGCCGCTAACCGGGTATACATTGGATGTACAGTGCTCCTCGACTCGAGAGCGCGTTGTCTAGTATAGTACCGCGACAGTTATCGGAGTTTGCCATGTTTGGGCACTTAATCCGATCATGTATTGGACAATACTGCAGGGTAAGTGTTCGACGTTAACTCAGCTGAACTCCTATCGAAGAGGAGCGCTGTGCCAACAATCGGCGAAGACTCGGCTCCAATAGCAGGCTTCATTTCCAGGAAATGGTGACCGCCAGTTGTAATTGTGAAAAATGGCGATTGCCAATCGAATTGTTAAGAAGTAACAAAAAGAGTGAAGGGACAGGAAAAAAAGCGGAACAAGCGTATACGTCTTTCCATTTTTTATATCTGTTTTTTTTTTTTAACTACCGGCTTCTTTGATGCTAATTTTGTTATATGTATTCAATATAGGAATCTTTCACTCGTATAACACCTAAAGAACTCTCCAGCCACGGCCCCTACTTTTACAGCGTACCAAAGACAGTGTGCCGACACTGTCTGAGGCATTCCATGCACGATGGTCCTGTCACGCTGATCATTATAAAACCTGTCTTTAGACATGTTCGAAACGTGCGAATGTGCAAGTAAACATGCCTCGATGATGCTTGGGGCGTGTCCACCGATAATTCTCTCTTCATGTCTGCGCCGAACATGGTGTCCTTTGTGTGATCTGTGAGCAGTGGTGTTTTAGCGGCTTTACCAGTGCCGCCCTAAGAACGAAAGACGCGCCGTAGGGCCCGTTCACACACTTGCCCCTGACTACGACCGACTGAAGGCCGGTCCACACACTCGCGCCAGTCCGACTGAGTGCGACTGCTACCTTTTCGCGACGTTCATGCTCTTACGGGCTGCAATGGCAACGGAGTTTGGAGCCGCTTCCACCCGCCATTGTTGCTGCGCGGCGCTGTCCTAAGAGGCCTAATTAAAAACCAGTCTTGTCTCAGTCGGTCATTGTCAAACGGAAATGTGTGAGCGGGCCTTTATCCTCCTGTGTTATTGACGCAGATAAAGGGAGACAAAAATCTTTCACTGTCTGTGTCTTCATTAGCACGTCCCTGAACCTTGGCCGTGAGCCTGAAAACTATTTTGGTTTTTGCTGCTTTTTTTTTGTTTTTTTCTTTCTTTCAGAAGAAATGCGAAGGGAAATCATGGCAGCAGTTATCGCAGTGGTGGCCTTCCTCCTCCTATCTCTGGGTGCTCGAGGAGATAAACGTACGTTACACGCTCGAGTTCCGAGGGTTGAAAACGGACTGCAACCGACGCTGGCCGGCGACGATCGACGGTGCCAATCAACCAGCGCCGAAAGTGCTATGTCACGGCCCTCCTCTCCTTTGTTAAACTCTCATCGTAATGCTCCGTTTCTTTTTTTGTGCGTGATTGGTTTAGCTGACGGGGAAACTCACAAAGGCGACTAGGGCCGTGACGATGCATTTTTGGAGCCGCTTGATTGCTACTTTCGGATTGCCACTATACTTCGTTTCAGCTTCGGTCCGAGCGCGGCCGATGTTATGAGCCAAAGGCCAATCAAACAGTGAAAGAGGCACAACGTCATGACGTGCTCTCTGCAGTTGATAGGACCAGCCGGTATTCGTCGTCTCTCTCTGCGTGCTCCTCCGCAGGCTAGTCTTATCAAGCGCAGAGAGCACGCCATGACGCTGCGCTTTTTGCGGTGTTTGATTGCTCTTAACATCGGCCGCGCTCGGACCGAAGCTGAAACGAAGTATATAGCGACAGAGACAAACGACAGCGACGGGCCATAGAGTAATATACACAATGTAAAGAGCGGACACTAGCATAGGCCCCAGCGGCCCAGATAGACCAGTGACAGGTAGCGCTCCTAGCGGGCGGCATTAAGCATAACTACGTTCCGGTTCCGGTCAAGTCAGTTTCGGTTTCGGTTTGGGCGGTTCAGCTCCAGTTCTCCGGTACCCTTCTCCTTTTTTTCTCCCTCTCTTTCCTCCTCCCCTCGCTCCTCGCTAGGCTCTCGGGAGCTCCTCGGCTTCCGGAGCCGCTCTTTTTTTTATTTTTAATGTTGACACAGTTTTATTTTAATTTTTACGGTAGAATCGGTGCAAAATATGTCAAACAATATTTTAACTTACATAAAAAAACATAGGTGTATTTCTTGCTTTTTTTTTTCTACCGTAAAACATGTAAGTTACACAATCGCCACATTGACTCCTGGCTGGTGGAGCATTTTGCGGTCAACGACAGTAAGTGGTTTGAAAATATTTTATTGGACCTCATTCATATATACATGATTTACTTAAGAATCTCTGTATGTTTTATGAGAAACAGATACTCGCAAAAATAAATGAATATGAAAGAGTTCAGAATATCGTACACTTCGTAATAGATTTTTAGCCGAACCAAGTTAACAAAAACTTTCCACAGGGAACATGGAACATGCTGAATGATCCATTCACTTTCACGCCTACTCGGGCACGGGAAGTGAGTGCAGAAATAAATAAGACATCGCTATCATTACTAGTCATAAGAGTATAATAAGAGTGCGAAGCACACACCGGATAGTAAAAATTCCCGATTTCCGGCTAATATAAAAACACGAAATGCCATAGCTTGAAACTCACTGCGGGCGAGCCATCACCAAAAAATGAGAACCCTATGCGGAATCTGACTAGATTCAACATCCCTGAATATTACCCGAAACATATTTGTTCAGAAAAAAAAGGATGGCTTCAAAAAAACAAACGGCAAAAAAAAAAAAAAAAACTATAAACAGTAGGTACAAGAGTGGATACATTTTCTTTCGAATATATATAGCCTCTGTACACTATCTTCCATAAATATTTTGTAGAAAGTGGATAAATATTTTTGTAAGGGCGCCGTGATGCACATATGCTGGAAATAAGAGACACAAATTTTGGAGTGCAAGTTGCACCGCCCAATTAATAAGCACTTTCTATTTTTCATTTGCCAACCGCCTCTGTTAATACACTTAAAAATTAAACCTGTCTAGTCGCTTACCAGCAAGTGAAGAGCGCAACCGAACTTTATAACAAGCTTCGGTTAAGAAATCGACCATTCCAACACACGCGTATTCTGCAAAATATTTAAAAAAAAACCTTTTGTGGCACTCCTCTGAGAAAATGATAAAACCACCCAGACCTGAACGTGTGCGATACAAGGCAGCACGCACGGCTCGAACACGCGCCGCACTCTCTGTTAAGGCAAGAAAGTGATTTTCTAGTCGCTGATTATAATTAAAGGCAGCCTGTAATGGTACTACTAGGTTCCCGAAGAGTTTTCCATGCACGTGGTATGCTTTTAGCACAAGGATGTACTGGTGAGGCCTGGTCAAGTTGTTAGACTCATCCCTTAGCAGCTGAGAACAGCCACAGCTGTGGGTTGTCTGTTCAAGCAAAACCTTGATCAAATAGTCCCCAACGTAATAAGTGGACGAGTCATCAATTATGTTAGACCTGATGTCTGACGTCAGCTCAGAAATATCTTCTATTAACGGGAATTTATCAATTGAGAGACATTCACATTGTCTGCAATATAACTCTGATGATGCGAAAATATTGGCAACTCCTTGAGGCGGTCAGCCTTGTCATCCTCTACGTGTCCATTGTTCGACAGTTTGAACAGTTCCTTTATCCCTATGTGTTTTAGTCCAGAGGTGAACTGATACACATTTAGGTTTGTATTGCAGCCCAGTATGTGTCCTATAGCTCCAAAAATGATTTCAAGTGGGTCTTGCTGCAGGCATCGTGTAAGTAAGAACTTAAAGTCATGGCTGTTTGAAAGCTCATCGAAGAGCATGAGGACATTCTTTATAGTAACTTGCAACCCTAAGACGGTTTGTGGCTGCCTCCTACTTTGGAACTTCCATGATGAAATCCATCCGACTTGCTGGTGAAGGAAAACCGAGTATAGGTTCTCCTTTCAGAATGGCATGACGCAACTTCTGCCATGTCTTCTTGAGCTGTGAGCTATTTAGACAATCAAAAAGTCTGTCCATCCTGTCACAGAAAAAGACTTGCCGTGGCTTCCTCAGGAAGCTTCTTGGCATAAACAAGGGATAGGATTGCAAGACAGAGTGAGGCATTCAGTTCCTGTGCGACACGCATTAGAATCTTGTAACTGAAAGGTTTTTAACAGATGTATATCTCAGTAAGTTTCGCACCCAGTCGCAACCTCATCTGATGGGTAGAGCCCTAAAGTCTAAGAATAAGGGACCACTTAATGACCTCATTTACAATGCAAAGTTTGTGTGTTTGGAGATTGTTTCTGGTTGTTTTGATGAGGTGCGGAACATGAAAGATAAAGTAAACATGTTCGTTGTCAACTTCAAAAAATGACTTATCAACAGACACACCAAGTTGGTTGATCAAGCTTACGTTTAAAGCCCCCTGATCACAGACCACAGCTTTTACTGTGAAGCCAACAGTCTTAGCTCCCGAATGAAAGAAATGAAGATCCTGCGGATATTAGAAGACCGTGTTGGAGTGTGCCCAACAGTGGATGCAAGGGGCTGAACCCACCTCCTGGAAATTCCAGAAAGCACAACAGCCAAGGCTCTATCTCTAATGGTTAAGGTTCGTTCAACACCTTCATCTGTAAACCCATAGACAATGTCGTGTGCAGGGTCATAAGTCAAGTTCTTTTTTAAAACGATCTCATCGAAAATCAAAGTGCACACACGATCACGCGCAGCTCGAATGCCCAACGGAAACAACAGCGCGAGAAGCGGGCTCCACAAGCTCACGCCGAGCATGCGAGCACGCGGACGGTCATGCGTCACCTTGTTTGATGCAAAGTCGACCGAACAGGCTGTTGTTGTTGTTGTTAGAACGTTCTTTATTGCCCTGTTATATATAATATATGTATATTGTTATATAGATGAAGAAAATACGACAACGTCATCCAGGTAACACAGACATGTTGTCCAGCGCAACCTGCGTAGTAGCGAGTCCATCATACGTTCGAAAGTTGCAGGAGCATTGCATAAGCCAAAAGGCATGACTCGAAACTGGTAAAGTCCATCGGGTGTTACGAACGCTGTCTTTTCTCGATCTTTTTCGTCAACGCTAATTTGCCAGTAGCCCGAGCGCATGTCAATCGACGAAAAATAGTTGGCGTCATGTAGTGTATCAAGGGCATCATCGATTCGGGGAAGGGGATAAACATCTTTTTTGGTAATTTTGTTGAGTCGTCTGTAGTCAACACAAAAACATATCAGCAATGGTGCGATTGAAACGTTCCACCAAGCCATTTGTTTGTGGATGATATGCTGTTGTAGGTCTATGAATGATTCCACAAAGATGTAATAGTTTTTGTATCACCTGGGAAAGAAATACTGTTCCTCGATCGCTCAGTATGTGACGAGGGGGGCCGTGTCGCAAAATGATATTGTGTAAGAGAAATGTGGCGACTTCGTCTGAGTTTGCTGACTGTAAGGCAGCGGTCTCTGCATAACGTGACAAATGGTCCATGGCAACAATGACCCAGCGGTTACCGTTGTGTGTAAGAGGAAGGGGCCCCAACAGGTCGACACCGATGCGTTCAAATGGGCAGTGAGGTGGATCGAGAGGATGTAGAAGTCCAGCTGGTGCGGTTGTTGGCCGTTTTCGTCGCTGACATTGGACGCATGATGCTACGTATTTGGAGATGTCGCGGTACATGCCGTGCCAGTAGAAGGTATTGCGGACACGCATATAAGTTTTAATGAAGCCCAGGTGTCCAGCTGTGGGGTCATCATGTAGAGCGCCTAAGATATCAGGTCGGAGATGTCTTGGAACGACAAAGAGCAGAGTAGGACCATGTGGGTCATAGTTGCGACGATACAGTACGTCATTCTGCATTGTGTAGGGGTCAACAAGCCGTTGTTCGTGGCGGGTGAGGGGCTGCGGTGTTTGCGACCACGGTTGGAAGGAGATTTTGAGTGCCTGACGCCTCACCTCGAGACAACTCAGCGTCACCAGGGCTTGGCGACCAAGTTCCTCCACCGCTACATCGGCCCGTACGTAGTCGTGCGCAAGCTCTCCGACCTTTCATACCACGTGCAGCAACAGCAAGACACTACTGACCGACGCCGAGCAGCCTCCGATGTAGTCCACGTCGCCCGCATGAAGCCCTACACCCCCCGACCCACCCCTTAAACCACCACCACCCTCGTAAAAAAAAAAAAAAAAAAAGCATACATATATATTTTGTTAATAGCGGTCGGGACGACCGCAAAACAAAAG